CCTACATTACACCCCTATGTTAAGAGTCTTAAGTATCTCACTCTGCCTAGAACAATGGCTTGTTACTGCTGTCTGTAAAACTATAGTCATACCACACAAAGATAAAGACAAACAAAACTAATTAGATACAGAGAACTGGTCAATTAGAGAAACTGCTGCCACAGATAAAGTAAGTAAAGGGAACAAGCATTTTGGGGAGGATCAAAAATTCAAGATTAAGCATAAGAAGTAGTGGAATGCCAAGGGGAGGAGAAAATCAGACTGTAATAGTTTTTACCTCATTTATAAAGTAGCATAAAAGTTTATGTTCCTAACTGTTGTTGGTCTCGTTTATAAATTTCATCCCACTTGAAGTCCTGCATCCTTCTGAAAAGCTGGTTAATATCACTAGTTGTTTTCTTTCTGCTTGATACAGGTATCTTAATTCTTTCCTTGCAGTGTCTGGGTGCTAGCAAAGGAGATGTGGGCAAGTTTTCAGACTCCCATAAGTTTTTTTGCTATTGCACATGTAGCAGGAGAATTAAAGCAAATGACTATGCAGTCAACAGACATTTTGGGGTATAAAGCTCCTTCAGTTCTAGTCCCTGGTGTTGTCAAAAGTGGGTAAGGAGAAGGCCAAAGTAAATATTACATTGTGTTGAGTATATTTTAATGCTTAGTAATTTTAGTTTCTTTTTTTCTGAAAATTTTAGAAAGTGTTTTCCCTGATTTTTTAATAGAATCCACTAACCTTTTTACAGTATATTTTGGGATCTTCAGAATTACTGGGTTTGTTGAGGAAGAAGAGAGACCAAAATAACACTGTTGTATTAGATAATGAATTAAATATAATGCTTCTAAGATGACATTCTTTCTAAATAGTGTTTCCAAATTGTTCATCTACCACAAAACATTTTTCTATTGAAGGTGTTAATCTGTGTTAAAATAGTACTGATATAATGACACAGATAAAGACAGTCAAAGACTCTCCCTTAAGCTTGCATTATAGTGGAAAAATTTATAACTACATTAAGGAGTTTCAGCTTGTGTTATTTTTATATTACATTTCTTTGTTTCCTTTTTGTGAAAGAAACAGAACTAATTGTCAAAGTAGATCTTTGTCTAGAAATATCAGGATAGGGATGTATAGTTGAATTTTCACAGGCAGTGGGAGTTGTCAGGGAAGCTGCAGTTATTTTTAAGAGGTATTATTGACTTTGTCAGTGTTCAAAGCCCCTATTGTGTAGTCAAGCTGGTTAAGGAAGAACTGTGCACTGTGGGGAGCTTTGTTTAACTTGCCAAATATCTGAGCACTGTAAGAAATTATTTGTCCATAGCTAATCTTAAGAATAGGTACCTGAAATTGAATTATGTTAATATGAAATTACATATCATATTTATAATGTTTTGAACAAATAAAATTAATCATATGCTAGTTAGGCTTTCCTTCTCCTTTGGGAGCCAGACAAATGCTCTTTGAGATGAATTATTTTCCACTGAAACAAAAAAACCTGTAAAGTTGTTGAGAATGCAGGAAGTTTTACAATGAAGGCTTTGGAATGAGATCATAGAACCTGGGAATGGTTGGATGGAACTTTTAAAGGTCATCCAGTCCAACTCCCTTGCAATGAGCAGGGATATCTGCTACTAGATCAGGTTGCTCAGAGCACATTCCAACCTGAGCAAGAACAGCCTTTGGGTTTTTTTTTTCCATGATGGACATGCTTTGGAACATTGAGCAATGATTAATGGGATGAAATCTGAGAAGTCAAAATGCTGCATTCTGCATTTAGGATGGAGTAATGCTGGCCACAAATACAGACTGGGAGAGGAGAGGCTGGAGAGCAGCCCTGCAGAGAGGACCTGGGGGTGCTGGTTGGCAAGAGGCTCAACAGGAGCCAGCAGCGTGTCCTGGCAGCCAGGAGGGAAAACCCATCCTGGGGTGCATCAAACACAGCATCACTAGCTGGTCAGAAAAGGGGATTATCCCACTGCATTCAGCACTGGGGTGGCCTCACCTGGAGCACTGTGTGCAGTTCTGGGCCCCACAATTTCAGGAAGTTGCTGAGGTATTTGAATGTGTCCAGAGGAGGGAACAAGGCTGGTGAAGGGGCTGCCTATGAGGAGCTGCTGAGGACTTTGGGTCCTTTGGGCCTCATATTAAGTCCTTTGAAATTAAATAACTATAGACAAGAAGGAAAAGGCAGGAGAATGAGCAAGGGAAAGGGTTTGGAAAAACAGGGAGAAGGGAAACTAACAAAGATTAATGTGTAATAAAAGCTGTCTGCCTCTATTAATCTTCATGTATTCTGCTTGTTTAAAGTTCTCCCTGAGCCTTCACACTTGCTCATCTTCTCTACTCTCAGCGTTTTTTTTCACTGCATTGCAGACATTGCAAATAGTCTTAATTGGAAATATTGATAGGAATGTAGACTGCTGAACTCTACTCAGGATTCCTAGAATTACTTTATAAATAAATGAATGATTCATAGAATAGAAATGGGAACATGCCCATTTAAGTGACTATATTGTCAAAGATAGACAGCAGTATTTATTTTGTGGTCTTATATTAGAAGTTAAAAGAAATGTTTGTTTGTTTAAATAGTAGTCTATGATCAGACTTTTTTTTTTTTTTAGTATTTTTAAGTAATAGGAGAAAATTTCTGTTGTTTGCATATTTATTTCTTCACTGATATTCCCTGCCATCCACCCATTTTGTTTACATATTTCTGCACTCTCTGGGAGACACGTTTTCTGTTTGTATTTGTGCAGTACATATGTTCTGGCCTCTAGGTTTTATTATACCACTATCATCACATGCTTTCTTTTAACATAACATTGACATGGACTCTCCAAACAATTGTTTTATTGGCCTAAAATACCATAGGACACGTATTATGTTAAAATAACAATAAAACAATTGTTTGGAGAGTCCATGTCAATGCCAAGATGGAAAAATGCTGTATAATATTTGTGTGCCTTAGTTTGTTGCAAAAAATCAGTTCTGGTATTGAAAGTAGATACGGTGTCTAATTTATTTACTTTCTCTGTATGTTACCCATTACTTTACAAATAATCCAGAAATTAATTTTCTTGAGCTTTCTTAGCATGTTACTGATGTGGATTTATGTATTACCTGTTCAATTCTAGGCTTCAATTCTTTGTTCTTTAATTAAAGTCATAATGGCAGAAGTTTAAGCTTTAATTTGTCTGGTGTTTATGAAACATTGAGTGATAAGCCCCTTGATAGGGAAATTGTTTCAGTTTTGTACAGAAACAGAGTATTAAGCATGTGCTATAATGATGAAGACTTAAAATACATGAGAGAAAAAAGAGGAAATTGTAGATGGATAAGTGTCAGTGAAAGACCCTAGTGACTGAGTGTAGTTATATTTTGTTTTATCAAAATAAAATGCCTTTTTTTTTGTTCACCTAGCAGAATATCATATGGTAGGTTTCCATTACTGTAAAACTGAATGCTTTTTTTTAATCACCTTATTTCTTAAAGACTATGTGCAATGAGAAATTGACTTATAAGCAGCTTATGAAAGTGTATTTGAAGCATTTAAGCAAGATAGGTAAGAGGCATCATTTGCCATGATAATGTGGAGGCAGCCATCTGGTGGCATAGTTCCTGAAGTGGCATAATGCCCTTCCCTAACCAGTGGATTTGTTAGAGAGTTCTGGTCACCTAATGCAACAATTTATCACTTGCAGATTCTATTCTGCTTTAGTCAACAGAGGGGAAAAAAGAGAACTGCTTATTTGCATAATTACAAGCAACTGAGATCTGACATTTGACTAAATTACTTTCATAAGAAAAAGAAGTAAAAGCTGTTAAATCTAGTGTAGAAAATTGGATGCTTATGATTTTGTCATGCTTAGTTTTTTACCTGCAGTATTGCATACTCAGTCAAGCTTGTGCTAAATTCACGCTATGCATCATTTTGCTGACAGAACACTTAGATTTACATTTTCCTATGCTAACATAAACTGCAGAAACTCTCAAAAGCAAAGATAGTTGGCTGAAGATGACATTACAATGTTAACTGTTCCTGGTTTGCTTTGATAATGTGCCAAAAGCCTTAATAAGACTCTTTTGAAACTTCAGAAATCTAGAACAGCTGTATAAGAGAATATGTATTTTTTTTAAAAAGTAACATTAAAGTATGCCAGTACTGTGTATGCTAAACATTAAGATGTCACTGTTCTTTGTAAGTACTTTAAAAAATTCCATCATTTACTGAAAGAGCACAGTGCACTAAGTTTTTGTGTTGTGTCCTGAAGAGCAGCACATCAGGGCTTTGCAACACAAAAGGGAACTGATATTTCAAGCTGAAGCTTGTCAGAGATGTATCTTGTGGGTTTTTTGGATGTACAATATACATTTGAAGCTGCAATTTTACATAATGGAGTAGGAGTTAAAACTTGTTTATGAAAAACTCTTTGGTTTGAAATCAAATTTCAGAATTAGTTCAGAATTATTTCAGACATGTGCAAGGCTTTGGTTTTGGTGGGCCTAAAGCAGATCATAAGTCAACAGACCCCCTTAGACCTGAAAAATTGGAAGGTTACTAGTCTCCATTGGTGCTACTCAACTTGATTTTTCAACCAGAATAGCATGACTGTGTCAATGATTCTGCACAACCTGAAGTATCCCCTAGGTTTGCAGTATTTCTTCCAGCCAGCGGAAAAAATGGGATGGGGTTGGTCAAACTTAGTGTGTTGTCATTCCTTGAAAAAACTTTCCCCTCTCTAATATACATGCCACTTCTAGAATGGCTTTTGTTAGGAAAGCAAGCACAACTTCTCACCCAGTAGATAAGGTGTTATTTTATTTACTTTGCAGCTTATGTTCCCTCTGTTACAGTCTGGCTATCTCCCTTAACATCTATCTCCTCAGAGATGAAACCAGTTCTTCTTATGTGGACCTAATTGCAGAATGATGCTGTATCTGAGACAAACACAGTTGTCTGTTCCTGCTCTTTCTTTCTAGTTGGTCTGTGGTAGGAGCTCCCTGT